TGAAATTGTACAATAAAGCTACTGTGGTTAAAAACAGCTTGGTATTGGCAAAAACAGACCCAAAGATCAGTGGAACAGATTAGAAATGCAGAAACAACTCCAAACACACTAAGACTCCTTATCTTTGACAAAAGTGCCAAACATAGTCACTGGAAGAAAGATAGCTTCTTTAATAAATGATGCTAGAAAAACTGGCTCTACACATGCCAAAGATTAAAACTGGACCCATATCTTTCACCATGCACTAAGCTAAAATCAGAATGGATCAAAGTCTTAGTATTAAACCAGTTATAATAAATCTACTGGAAGACAGAGTAGGTAAAATTCTTGAAGATATTGGTGTAGGCAAAGACTTTATGCACAAAACCCCAACTGCATAGGCACTGTCATAAAAAATCAACAACTGGAATCTCTATTGAAAAGCTTTTGCACAGCAAGAAAAACCACCAACAGAGTGAGGAGATAACCACAATGTGGGAGGAAATGTTTACCAGCTATACCTCAAATGATTACTGCTGAGAACATAGAAAGAACTCGAAAAAAGTTAGACTTTCCAGATTTAAAGACCCAATCCAAAAATGGGTATCTGAGATGAATGCACACTTCTTAGATGAAATACAAACAGCAAGCAGATATGTGAAAAAATGTTCAACATCACTGGTCATTCGAGAGATGCAAATTAAAACAACACTGAGCTTCCACCTGACCCTAGAAAGAATGGCTGTTATCAAGAAATCAACCAGTAACAAATGCTGGAGGGGCTGTGAGGAAAAAGGAATCTTTCTCCACTGTTGGTGGGAATTCAGAATTGTGCAACCACTGTGGAAATCAGTGTGGAGATGCCTCCAAAAACTAGGACTAGCGTTCCCATTCAATCCAGCTATTCCCCTTCTAGATATCTTCCCAAAAGAATTAGAAACATCATACCACAGTGATATATGTGCACCCATGTTTATAGCATCACAATTTGTAATAGCTAGATCTTGGAAACAACTTAAATGCCCATTGACTGAGAAATGGATAAAAAGGATGTATTATTATACAGTGGAGTACTACTTAGCCATAAAGAAGGATAAACTGGAAATTTTTAAAGATAAATGGATGCAACTTGAGACCATACTCATAAGTGAAATAAATAAGACACACATGGGTAAACATCATAATATTATCTCACTGGTGTGAGAAGCTGAAAGAAACAACGTGTATATATATGTATGTATTTGTATAGAAAAAGCTAAGGTTAAAGAAAACAATAACAAATTAATATTAGAATTATAACAATGTATAGACAGATAAAACCAAATAATTTAAAATATTCAGAAAGACAGGGAAGTAGGAAGAACTTGGTAACTTAAGAGGGAGCCTTTGCATCTATTGGAGAAGGCTGTACGAATAGCAGACCCTGTCTCTTAACATGGCGTGAAGGGAGGGCTCTGCAGAGAGGGCTCTCTTACTTCCTGGAATCCTGGAGAGTGATTCCACGACACAGCCCGCCCTCTTTCTGCTGCTCAGGCCTTCGGGTAGATTTTGCAGACCAGGCAGTTCATTTTGGGTGTGTGCTGAATCCTTGTTTCCAGAAGGTGCCAAAGCGATTAGCAATCCTGTTATTTCATTTTTTAGGGGCTCAGGTATTTATTATTGTAGCATAGTTCATATTTACAATGTTACCTTCTGAGAATAAAAAGTGGTGACAATTATTTAAGACATAAAGAAGCACAGGGCAGTATAAAACTGTGTACCTTCCATGGTGTCTAAGAACTTTACTGTATTATTATCTTGATATCTTCCATAAGTGTTTCTTCAAATTCTATGATTTTCCCTCAACTTCAGAGAGAGAAATTGATGTTCAGTTGTGTCTTGTATTCGATTATATGAATGTATATTAGTTTATGTGTTCTGACCATGAATATTTGGGTTGTTTTCCGGTTTTCATTAGAAGCAGCAGTGTTAAAGGCATTTACATATAACACTGATATTTACTATAGGAAGAGGAAATACTGGATTTCAGAAGAAGTCAGGCCTACTTGCTTGTAATAGAATAAGGTGTATTTCTGTCTTTCCTGTAGTGCAGTGTAGGCATTCTTGTGTTTACCCGCAGATCTAACCATTTATTCTCCATATTTGAAACCCTAAATGCTAGCAGTGTTGTTTGTGTGACCATTAGAACAGAGGTCAATGGTGCTGTGTAACCATACTAAACTCTCAAAAGAGAGCAGCAAAAGAAGCCCTGTGAGCTCTATTGTTTACACAGCCTGGAAGCTGTCACTGAGTCCTTAAAGTGAAGCATGACATTGTGCAGCAGCGCGCTAATGGACAAAGAAGCACAGAGCAGCATCGAGGATGTCCTTCGGGAAGCTGACAGAGTCTGTTACAGACGTAATACCAAGCCGCAGTGAGATGGAACCGAAGACTTAGGGAGCACAGGCCCACTTCTGTGAGCTGTCGGGCCTGCCTCAGATGGCACATCTGGCTTCTTGAGCAGTTGGATTCAGACCATTTATGCGCCCATCAGAATGCTAAATGACAGGACAGGGTCAGCAGCAGCAGACTTGGAAGGCAGCCCGTGGCCCAGCTTTGCAGGAAGTCTGCAACGCGGCTTAGCTGGATGTGTGTGCAAAGCGGACTACAGGTAGCAGGCTCCCAGGCGACGTTTAAACAGCAGTGTTGGGGGAGACAGCACGAGCCAAGGAGGGCTCTTGGGGTTCACTGCATTGCGTCCAGAAGCAGCCAGGCCGCCTTGGTAGGCTGCAGCTGAGGGACAGCCTGGTGTGGAGTGTACGGCCAGGCCCGGCTTGCTTCTGTGGGCGGGGGCTTCAGACTGGCTGTGTAGTCAGAAAAGCAGGACCACAAACAGTGCCAGGCTATTTAAATAGCGGGCACAGCTGCTAACAAAAGGGAAAACTTGATGTGTGCTCTGCTGGAGAAGGTTGTTAGCTGCGTTTTTGTCTTTGATTATAATCAATCACACTGCGGAAAGAATTTTTTTTTTGTCTTTTTCGTTTTTATCGGTTACCAGCATGCGGGCACACATACACACATGCAGAAGTATAGTTGCACTCCACTGCTTTTCACCTCTTATCAAAACAGAAAAAAAGTTCAGTTTGAAACATGGTTGCCTTGAAATATTAGAAAGAGAGCAATTTACCCTAAGACTTTTATCCTTTGCTAGTCTCATCGTATTTGCATATTATTGACAGAATGCCTTAAAAACTGTTAGTGCCCTGCAGCCAATAATGTAATAATTTTTAAGACTTCAAGGTACCCTGTAGCCATTTTACTGTCCACCAGTCTCTAGTTTCTCTGGTGTTATTTCTTTTACTTTCGCCTTTTGAGGGCCCACAGTAGAGGCTGTGTGCTAACTGAGGGCGTTCAGTAAGTGTTCAGCTGGACTCCAAGGGTTAGGCTGTTAGTGTCCAGTCACCTGAGTGGAGCTTTCCCAGTCATTCTTGCCCTGGGTAGTTTCAGGAAGTAACCTAATGTCAGCCATCGAAATATGCCGAATTGTAACGCATCAATATTTTCTTTAATGCCTTCTTTGTTCCAAATTTGCAACCTTTTGGACTTTTCTTTCATTTTCTTATCTTGACCTTAAGAACAACATCACCTGTTTTTTAGTACTAGGAGTGGAATTCTGATGTCAGGTAAATTAACCCATTTGTGACAAAAGTTGCAGTTTGCTTCGTATTTGCATGGACTTCATGTATGTTATGTAGGAAAATTCAAGGAACAAGAATTTGAAGAGAAAAGTTTTTTTTATTATGTTCCACTGTTTGCAACATTACAAAATGGAACACTCGGGGCTGAGGATTTAGCTCAGTGGCATAAGCACCTGCCTGGCAAACACAATCCCTGTGTGAGTTCAATCCCTGGTAGCCCCCAAAAAGGTAAAAAAAAAAAGGAAAGAAAACCCAAAAACGGAACACTAGGCATAAATGCGTTAAAGGCATGTGGCAGATATGGTGGGGTGAAATGTGATATGAATAAGGGATTTGACGTACTACAAGTACAAGCGTAGCCATCGCGAGAGAGAAGGTAGAAGTGCAGAGGAAGAGACAGTTCAGGAAAGAACAGCCAAGATCAGGCCGCGAGTAATAAAAGTGCCTCACCTAAAACCCAAAGAGACAACTAACTTGTGTGCTGACAAACTTTAAAACTTCATTGTTTGGGCTGGGCGTGGTGGCACACACCTGTAATCCCAGCGCTTGCGAGGCTGAGGCAGGAGGATGGCTTCAAGTTCAAGGCCACTGGGAGCAAAGTGAGCTCAAGTCCAGTCTGAACTGCATAATGAAACCCTGCCTCAAAAGACAAAAACAAAACAAAACAAAAACCCTTCATTATTTGAAGGCGACATGTTTTATATTATATGAAACAAAATACCTTCTTATGTGCTAAACTTTTAATTTATTCGAATTCTTAGTTACATTTGGAGGTCTCTGTACTTGGGATGAGTCTCACTTTTCACACCCTCAAAATATGAATAATATTTTTACATATGAATTAACTGTTTTCAGGATTATGTTGCTAATCCTTATCATTTGTAATTCGATGAATTAAATGGTGAGCAGAGAAAATCATCTTGGTTATAAAAAAAAATTAGTAAAATATGCCAGTAATTGTATTTCAACTCTTGTCCTGTTTCTAAGCTTTTAATGCTTTTTAAGAAGTTATGTATTCTTGGATTAGGATGGTAATAAATAAAGGTATTGACTTTCTGTTATACTATTAAAATTATTAGATGAGAGTAGTCTGCATTGCCCTCTATGGGTGATTAAATGTTTACAAAATAATTACTGCTTATGTATTATTTGTGTGTATTTAGTAACTATGTCAATACATATACTTCAGATAAAAGAATTTAAAAGCAAACCTAATAGTTAGGGCCATGAATTGGCAAAAAGTTGAACAGGAGATTTTGAGCAAATATATTTGTTTTTGTTTTATCAACTAAGTTGGTATTGAAAGATTTTGGCAATTTAATGTTTTGTTCTTTTTTTTGTCAGAGCGCCACCCCCGATCCGGCGTCCCAGTCGAGAAGTGAGACCTCTGAGGAAAGAAGTGGCAGGAATAGGAGCCCGGGGACCTGTAGGCCGAGGACACCCGATATCAAGGAGTGAAAAACCTTCTGCAAGTAGGGACAAGGATTATAGAGCGAGAGGGAGAGATGACAAGGCAAGGCTGTCTGCTGTGGTTCCCTCCCCGAGGCGAGGTGCTGACCTGGGTGACCATTAGCCTGGGTCTTGTGGGCTTTTCAGGTTTTGATGTGGAAGAGTTATGAAAGATTCAGAACCTAAAAAATGGTCTTTATTTGTTGAAGACCACAGTGTAATGCAGAGAACCTCAGAGGCATGGTAAACACACACACACACACACACACACACACACACACACACACACACACACAGAGGAATAAAAGTAGTACAATGAATCCTACGTAGAAATATTCCAAATAGAATTTGAAAATTTTTGGAAAATATTTTGAATGAAAATGAACAAGAAGTGAAAACATAATTGTAGGGATATAAAAAAGCCGATAAATATATTCACAGAATACGATGAGGGATATGGTTTTCTGTTGTTAAAAATAAAAAATCTTTTATTTATTTGAAAGTATAGAGTTAAACAATATATATGTTTCTTTAGTAAGAAGATTTCTCATGGTTAATGCTCATTATGGTCATGAATTTAACTTGGGAGGTTGAATGGCAGATAGGCACAGCACTGTATGAAAATTCTCACAGACAGTGAGTTACAGATGATCTTGCAGAGGAAGGCACGAGCCAGGATGATCTGATGCATCTTAGTGTTAGTCTTAGTGTTAGTGAAAAGCCTTAATTTAGTCAGAAGTTTTTAGCAATAGTATTTCTGTTCCATTGTGATACCTTAAATGGAACTTGGTCTTCATTTTCACACAGCACAGGAAAAGAACTGTGGCCATGCGTTACTGGATATTCCTTTGCTAGGTAACATTCAGAGTAATCACATGTAATTCATGAATAGTCTTGCAAAATAGGTATCTTATACCCATTTTAAAGTTGAAGCCAGTGTAGAGAACTAAAGTCACTCGCAAAGGAAGGGAATGGAGTCCGGAAGAACAGAATTTGTAAAGTCATAATATTTTTGTCCTGTTTACTTTAAGCCTTTCGTATTGTGTTGTATTCTCCTATCAAGCTAGATTTTGCAAATCTGGATTGGATTGAAAAAAAATTCAGAATAATTAAATATTGAGTTTAAAGTGTGACGGCTCTTAAGCTAAGAACAAAACCAAGCAACATTTGTTGAATGTCAGATACATTTTTTCTGGAGATTATAAAAAGTCTTTGATTTGTACTGTTTCCAAATACTTTTCTAAGTCTGATTTACTCTTTCATTGACATATAAAAGTACTCAGAATGTTACTGAAAACTAAGTCATGTGTTTAAAACAAAACTGCAGTTGTTTTGCAGATAAAAGAGACCTTCTGAGTCACTGTGGAAATAAAAGGGACTAGAATTTACAAGACAAACTCATAGAAATTTCATTTGAATTTGAGAGGTCTACTCAGCTCAGTTCTGATTTTCATGGCCCTTGAAGTGTTCAGCAGGATACTGCCGTCTCAGGGACGAGCTGAAGCTGATGGGTTAGGTATAACTGATAGAGCCACTCCAGGCAGATGCGTCTGAAAGCGGGTGTTGGCAGTATCCTCAGAAGTGTGGGAGTGTGTCCCCCTCTCTTTTTCTTAGTAAGTTTATATGTTTCATCTAACTTTAAAAAAATGAAGCAGGATAGACTAGAAAATGGAGCGTTTATTGCTCATGGTAAACGTAGTATTACTGTCAGAAACAGTTATATACATACATGAAATTTAGTTATATGAGCATATCTCATGATCTAGAAACACATTTATTACTTTGTGTTATGGACAGAAGTGTGGAAGTTGCTGCTGTGTTCCAATCACTTAATTTTATATATGTCAAAAAGTGAGGATAAGAGAAATTATTTCTCTTTTTCTTTTTAGTACCAGGGATTGAACTCACAACCTCATGCTTGCCAGGCAGACGTTTAGGCCACTGAGCTAAATCCCCAGCCCTGAGAAACTATTTCTCTTGTCTGAGTTCTCTGATATATTTGGGCTTTTAACTTAGTAACAAATGTTACTCTTCCTTGAGCACACTTAATGCGTTTTGGAGTTTTCTACAAATGACTGCTTTTGAAGGCTTATACATGTGTTGATTTATTTGATCCCTGCACTTGGCTGTGAGCTCAGCATAAATTTCTGTTGTATGTACGGAGAAGCTGAGGCACCATGGTCTTAATTGCTAGTAAATGGTGGGGCCAGAATTTGAATCTTGATTGTCATCTCAGAGCTTTTAATCATCGTGTGAAAGAAAAACCATGGTATATGTGTATGTATATGTATATAAAAATAGTTAAGACAGTTACACTGCTGATTTCTTTGAGTTCGCTGAACTCAGAGAAATATAAACTAGTGCTAGAAATATAAACTAGTAAAAGCATACTTGAAAATACTTGCTATTTTATTTTAATTTACCATGAATATTTCTTTCTAGTGAGAGTACTAGTTCATTTTCTGATAGTGAGTGCATTATTATTATTATTATTATTATTATTTTGCTTTTTTAAATTGATAAGATTCAGGTTAGATCCATAGTTAAAATGGTATTTTTATTTTTTGAAATTTATTTATTTACTTTTTCCAACTCCATTTTATTCATAGATAAAAAGAAAGAAAAAAACTGCAACAGAATTTTAAAGTACATCAGTCAGGGGGCAACAATGGTACATACATTACACATTGTCACCCCAAATCATTCACCCAGAGCACAGGACGTCTGCCTTTAATTGTGCAGACAATACTGGCGCAAATCTTTATCTTCAGCCAACTCAGAGAAATCAGCAGTGTAATGGCCTTAACTATTTTTGTATACATATTCAGACACATACACACATACGTGTTTTTCTTTCAGCCTGTCACACTAACGAAACACTGTGATGTTTACGCATGTGTATAATTACTTTATGTAGTGATCTGTTGTTGAAACCTTATAGTTTTCCTCCTTGAGGTTCACAGAGTCTTTCATGAGGCCACTCTGTAACCCCGTTTACCTAACAAATCTTTATGAAGCTGATGCTTTGTGTCAGTCATACTTGTAGGTGCTAGAAATATAACCTAGTAAAGATGATCCCTGGTCTCAAGCTGAGCATTTTCTCATTGTTGAGAGGGAGTTAGATGAACAAGGTTACCTTACACTGTAGTTTTCCGTCTTCCTTGAATGTAGCTGGTGTCTTGGTCTGAGCTCTTGTAACAAAACACTGAATAAATGCATGAACAATGGAAATTTGTCACTTCTAGCTCTAGAGGTTGGGAACCCCAAGATACGGATCCAGCAGACTTAGTGTCTGGCGAAGGCCAGTTTCTCATGGATGGCCCTTCTGTTGTGTCCCTCAAGTTCCCTGGAGGACCAATCCCATTCGTTAGGGTCGGGGAACTCATGACTAAATTAACTTCCAAAGGTCCCACCTTTTAATAATAATGCATTAAGAACTTGGCTTTATTTAATTTTAATTTTATTTTTATTAGCACGTGCTTGTAGTACAAAATGTTCGTATTCCTCGTATGGAGTTGGCGCCCGTACCTAACACGTCTTAGTCCTCCTCACCCCCTTTCCCTGCCCTCCCTCTCCCTCCTGCATCTGTCTCTCCATCCCATCTCATCTGAGAAGGGTCTGTCTCTAAACTTCCTGCTTTGTGTTTCGCTCTTTCTTTTTATTTTGGATTTCACATATAAGAAAAACCAGTGTGTCTGGTTTATTGCGCTTAGCATTATGATCGCCAAGGACATCCATTTTCCTGCAAATGACTAAGTTTACCTTTATTTATGGCAGCATAGTAGTCCATTGTGTAAATCCCTCGTTTTCTTTGACTGTTTATTAGTTGAAGGATAGGCTGATTTCAAGACTTAGCTGCTATAGATATGGATATTCATATGTCACTGTACTGTGATATCTAACTCTGTCAGGAAGGTACTGAGGAGGGGAATAGCTGGATTGAATGGAATTTCTAGTTTTAGTGTTTTGAGGAATCCATAGTGCTTATACTAGATCACATTCTGCCCAACACGTGGAGGGCTTCCACAGCCTCACCATTGTCATTATTTGATTTCTTGTTGATGGCCATTCTTCGTGGAGTGGGAAGGTATTTCAGTGTTATTTTAATTTGCATTCTCTAATGTCAGAAATGTTGAGCATTTCTTCATGTATTTATTGGCCATTTAAATGAATTCTTCTGCAAAATGTCTATTCATTTCACTTGCTCCTTTTTTCATTGGGTCTTTCATTTTGGGAAATCTAATTTAAAAAAAAAAAACTCTTTCTATAGTCTGAATATTAGTCCTCTGAGAAGTAGCTAGCAAAAATTTTTTCCCACTCTGGATGTTCTGTCTTCACCCCATTGTTTGGTTCTCATGCTGTGCAGAGATCTGATCTTGATGAGATAAGATCATGAAGATCGTGATAAGGTCTCATTTGTTGATTAGTACTTTTCCTGTGAACCAGGTTTCTGTCTGGAACTCATGGCCTGTCTGTATGATGTCAAGAATTTCACCTATTTTATCTTTCAGCAGATTGTTTCTGTTTTAACATTTAGCTTTTTGATCCTTTTTGATTTTAATTTCACATGTGGCAAAACATGGGGTTTGGGATAAGGTTAATGTTAAATGCAGTGTATTAGTGGGAAGTATTCTGGTTAACTTGAAACAGGCTGGACCTGGGGCCCTCGCGTTTGGCTCAGGTGAGAGCTACATTATTCTTCCTGTGTGCCTGATAATAGAACAGCGGTGGTGGAAGCCAGGGATAGAGGATAAAGAAGGACTTTGAGGGTAAGAAGGGAGTTAGTGTGGTGTGTCTAGTGCTTACTGCAGTTCCTGGTATGTGGTTTTAGCTGTCAATCTGACGCGAAAGTAAGACACAGAGAGAACGCGCAATCACTTTTTTAAAAAAAGTAAATAGTGAGGTGAGTTCAGGAAATCTTGTACTTGTTTTGGGCATCGGATCCAGCTCATAGAGGAGTAAGTTTGTCAAGTAGGAGACGGTGGCTGTACAGGCCAGAAGGTCAGCTGTCATTCAGCATCCTCAGGATATCCCTGTGACTGGGGACCAAGTATTATTGCTACCGCTAGCCACTGGCTGTCAAGTCAGGTCACTCACTGCCAAACGGGAGGGTTGGCTTCTTTGTTTGGAAGAACTTTTCTCTGAGAAAAATTCCTTCTTCTGCTGATCTGAAAGCTACCTCTTTTTGTTACTTTTTAAAATCCTGATTCTTTTCTTTACAGTAGTGTAGAACAGGCTTGTTAGTTGTGTTGCTTTGTTAGCCTCCTCTTCTTTTGCTTAAGTATCTTTAGTTTCTTTGGTCCTCTTCTGTATGCTGTAGTGTATGAGCCCTAGTCATCCTTCCCTGGGTATAATTAATCCATCAGCAGGACTCAGCTGGTAACTAACCAGGTTCACATTATCCACCAGTGTGAGAGGCTGAACAACGAAATGCAAAAACTATTATTTGTACTTCGGGTGAAGCTGTATTAATCTCTGACTCTGTAGTATTTGGTCGATCATTCTAAATCTCATTATCTGCCGTAGAATGGTTAGCCACTATTATTAGAAGATATTTAACAGAGCTTTCTTGATATGGGTAATTTAGATATTAGTAAAAACAGCTAAAATATTTTGCTTTCAAGAGGAAAAAAAAAGTGTGTCAGCCTTCTTGCTAACAATGAGCTTAGTAAACTTGTGAAAATCTAAGGCAAGAATTCCAAGGTCATTTGAGAGTCACTGCAATTAGTATTATGCATGAGTAATGTATAATGGGTGAGATTAGCTTTATAGTTTGAAAACAAGTGTTTTAGGTGTTGCAGTTAATTTGCTGGTTGGCTGATACCACAGTTATTTGTATATGATGTCTATATTTTAATTTATCTATATATTTATTACAAGAGTAATGGTCACCTATTTATCTTATTTCATTCTAGTTTTCTGTCTTTCCTATTACCTTATCATTTTGCCTCGAAAAGGTTTCTAAATACAGAGTATGTCATTCTCTCCCATTGGAAAACCGAGTTCCTGGGCAGACTGTTTGATGAATGTTTACCTGTGTTTCTTCCTTGCAGTGAGAGGCTTTTACTTCTTTGTTCACCTCCTCCTCCACAAACCCCTTTTCCATACTGTCGCCTGAAATGTCATCTAAACCGTTAGTCGTATTGTGTCATTCTCGTATACTTAGTGTAAAACCCAGGATTTATTTCTACCCCGTCTCCCGCTTCTTCCTTCTACTCAGTACCTTTTGGTCACAGTGACTAATCAGATTTTTTCACAACCCTTGAAAATTTATGATTATGTGTGGTTTTACTTTGTTTACTGGTTTTCCTCTACTAGACTAGATGCTCTATGAGACCATGAGTGTTTTCAATCACTGCTCTAAAAGCCAGAGCACAGTAGAATGTGCTGCTCCTAATCGATGCTCAGATTTCTGTTCTAAAATCCGGTGGTCCTGTTGCTTGCAGATAGGTAGGCGGCTTTCTTTTCTCTTGGTATTTTTATCAGATTCTCCCCTGCCACTTGGACTCTTCCTTTACAATGAAATTCTAAATTTAATTTGCTGTTGCAAATTACAGCTTCCCTGTGAAGACTTGTTAAGCCCCGTATTAGTTTATTTCGCATTATTTAGTTGATTTATTTCTAGACTAATTTTTAAATGATTGCAGTGTGTTCCCAGTGAATCATTTGAATGAGACTTTGTAGCTTTGGCCTGTCCATCTATCAAATGTGATTCCGGGCTATCTATTTTGGATTTGTTGATGTTATATTTGTTGTATGGTTAAGGCAGAAACGTATTCAGCAGTGTCAGTACTGATACATGTCTTCTGAAATTTAAGGATGTTAATAAAAATTAGCTTGCAATTCCTGTCATATTCCCCAGATAAAGTAAATTACTTATTTTGGGGGTCAAGTACTGCGGCACTGTTTATCATTTACTTAGTTGATAAAATGAGAGGAGCATCTGCAGAGGAAGCGTTTGGTTCTCCCCTAGTCCTGGGTGCATCTGTCATCGGTCTCAGCAGAGCTGGATCAGAGAACTCTGTCATGTCCTGTGCCTCTCTCCCTGTACCGTTCAGGAGACGGACACTCGAGCTTCATTGTTCCATCAGGCAGGGGCTGTGGGGCTGCCGTTCTGGAGATGTCCTTGCCTCTGCCTGCTAAGCAGTTTCTGTAGTTGAGCTGTCTGGCAGATCAGTGTGTTCCTTTATAGCTCTTCAAATTTAAAGCTCTTCAAAGCCGAGTAGTGCTTCATTATTAAATCAAGAATTTGTGGTAAAGCATATTGGTTTAATGCTCTTAATAATACTGTTTTTCAAGGTCATTTACCAGTGTCATTACCGTGACTTTATCATGTGGTCCAAGGACCTTACTGGAAGAAACTTGGAATCCTGAGCCTTGCTTGTAGTAAAAAGACAAAAAAAGATGTCCCAAGCCTTCCTTCCTCTACGGCTCCTCCTTGGATGCTGTGGAGGGCAGTTCTCCAACCACTGCTGCTCTTAGGCTTTAAGCAGCTGAGCTGAGCCTCAAACAATCTGATGTGGAACAGTGTGGGTTTAGGGGGGCGGAAAGACCCTGAATTCAGATCTCTCCCTGACATTTATTTGTGATGTTAGGTTACTGAGCTTTACTGAGAACTAGTTTCCTATCTATAAAAACAAGAAAAATTATAGCTACCTTGTAGAATTATTGTATTAAGTGAGATGGTGTTTGTGAGATTCTTCTGCCACGTGGTAGAGTCTCAGTAAATTAATTTTCTTTCCTGTATGTTGCTACATTAATTATTCTTTAGGAGTGGTGGAAATCCTCTATGTCCAACAATTAGGCTTTCCTAGTTTGTTAGCATCTATCAAAGATTATTTTAGTTTTACCCGTAACTGTCCCTTTTAGAAGGTAGATTTGAAGATATAAATAATATTTGAAGATATAAATAATAATAGTAATAAATTTAATCAGTTTAACTCTAATTAATTAAATATAGGAGGATAAAATTTGAACAATCATAAATTACTATTTTAAACTGTAAGAAAATACTTTAGAAGTGATTCTGTTGTACTATTTTGAAAGCCTAATGATATTAAAATTGTCTTATTACTGACTTGTTTATTTTATGGCTGCTCTTAGGGAAGGAAAAATATGCAAGATGGTGCAAGTGATGGTGAAATTCCAAAATTTGATGGTGCTGGCTATGATAAGGACCTGGTGGATGCCCTTGAGAGAGACATTGTATCCAGGAATCCTAGCATTCACTGGTTAGTATTTTAAGTTCTTGAATTAAAATAGAAGAAAAAAACAGGTATAGCTTGGCAGAGTATCTTTTTTTTGCTATCCTTTATTTTCCTGATTATGTTATGAGTATGCAGAAATGACAGGACGGTTCTGTCAGTATAAAACAGGCCATTTTATGTGTTAACTTGACATTGATTGACAAAGACCTTTAATTGAATAACATAGTAATTAATACCTGCAGTGCTTTCACTGATCATTTTATGCAGTCAGAATAATGTTTTAATAATGTTTCATAAGTAAAAAATACGAGAGAATTTTGCCCCTAAATCGAAGCTGTTGTTGGATAAGCATTGTGAATCTTTGCTCTTGCAAAGGGATGACATAGCAGATCTGGAAGAAGCTAAGAAGTTGCTGAGGGAAGCTGTTGTCCTTCCAATGTGGATGCCTGACTTCTTCAAAGGGATTAGAAGGCCGTGGAAGGTAAGAACTTAATAGCAGGGTGTGAGGGTCAGGATGCTGCTGGCAGGTAGTTTGTGTTTAACCTAGTTTGCAAGACAAGGGAGGTTTGACTTGCAACCACCCGGAACACCTGGGTGTAATTTGTGGTTGAGATGTGTGGTGTGAGCCAGCCGGCTGGAGTGTTGAAACTCTCCTCTTTAGTCTGTCACTTCCTTTAAGTGCTGACCTAGAGGCTGGCTTTAAGAGTGTTCTAGATACTTGTTTCTATAAGTAAAAAATCAAGCAAATTAAGCAGTAATAGTGTATAGTCTTAAAACTTGATGCATTTCTCACTAACCATTTTTTATTGTGATCATCATTTAATCTAGGTTCAGTATAATTATCAGAAAAAATCATTTGTTTCTTTCTTTCTAGGTTGTCCTCTGCTTTAGAGGTTAAAGCTCACTCAGGAATAGTTCCTTTTAAGTTCAGCATTTTTCCTTTAGCATATTGAAAACCTCTTCCAGGCTGGCAGGAGCTTTTATTTTTGTTTTTGTTTTGTTTTGATTTGGTCTTAGCCATAGGTGGGGTCTTCCTTGACTTTCATAGTAGAATGAAATTAAAGCTTGATTTTACTATGCCCTTTGACTTAGCTAGGAGTCTGTGTCTCTCTGCCTGCCTCTGCTTCTGTCCTGTGCTGAAAAACTAGAGGTTGTGTGTCTGCCTGAACAGTTCGGAACATTCACAGCATTGTGATCGTCTCTTACAAATTGAAGATTGTTTTATCCCTTTAACATATTTTTAAATTTTTATTTGACACCTATGTATGAGCTGTGATCAGAATACCCAGTGAATGTGTAAATTTGTAGAAGACACATTGCCATTATCTCCCCCTTCCTTGCTTTGAATACACTTACCACACATGGAAGCTCTGCCAGGCTGTCATGTCTGGAGACTTTGGTTTGGTTTCTCTTCTGTCCTCTCCCTCCCTCTCCTTCTCCTCCCCTTCTCTTCTCTTTCTTTGCAGTAGCTGGGATTGAACCCAGGATTTTTTTTGCATGCTTGATAAGTAAGTATTCTATCACTAAGCTATATCCCAACCTTTTAAAAATTGTTTAAATATTGAGACAGGGTCTCATTAAGTTGCCCAGGCTGGCCTCAAACTTTATATCCTTCTGCCATAGTCTGCCACCCCACCCAGCTCAGTATAGAGTTTTCACTGGGGTCCCGTGTAGCATGATGAATGGAAGCATGGCCATGGGTCTTTAAACCCCAGGCCTCTTTCTCTCCCTAGGTATTGATTGATGGCTTAAAACCCCAATTCTTTAATCACTTGGTTAGTGTTTCTGGCGTGGTCACCTGTCATCCTGAATCTCTCATGCTAGCATAAATTATTCAGGGACCCTGCCCCGTTACCTCATTTGCATAAAATTCCAGAGTCCACCATGAATAAGAAAGACACTCCTTCACTCACTACATTCAAGACCCTAGAGGCTGCTTTCCAGATATCAGAGATAAACGCAAACCAAATTCTTTATTCTACAAAGTACAGTGAACTGATACTGAAAATTGATAAGAAAGGAGCAAGTTTAAATAGAGACAAAACATGTTTAGGCAAATACTGAACAGATAAGTGGAAATAAAGGTCTGGAGCTGGGGATGGAGTTTGAGTTTAAATTTAAATAGTAAGACATAACTGGTAGCTGATGGTAGGGTGATGGCTGAATTTGTTCTGGGCTTTTATAAGCGGAGATGAGCAAAAGACTTAGACTTGCTTTGCAGTTATAAGGGGTAGGGAAGGAGGAATCTGAAAGACACTGAAAACAGCCAGAATAGAAGTGATGGGGAAAGAGCAAGATTACAGAACCCAGTGCAGGGGGCAAAAAATACAAGAGGAGGAAGGTGATGCCCAGCTGTCCCAGGTTTCAGCGAGAGGCGGGAGGTAGGTTGGAAGGGTGCCACTGGAGTAGTAAATTAGGTCATTTTAGAGAAACGGTGGAGACCAAAGTCAGAGTGTACCCTAGGAAGAAGAATCAGTGAGGATAACTCGCTTCTCTATTGACTACAAAGGGAAAGAGAGTTGGAGAGTTGGAGCTAGAGGATTTGTAGGGTCAGCTGAGGGATTTTTTAAAAACTGGGACATTTGCATATGTTTTCTTTCTTTCCTTTTTCACTTTTTTTTTTTAATCTTCTTCCTTTTTATCGGTATCGGGGATCGAACTCACAACTGCCTGCTTGCAAGGCAGGTCCTTATGCCGCTGAGCTAAATCCCCAGCTCCTTTTTTTACTTTTTTAAAGAGAAGAATGCAGAAAAATCAAGAAATAAGCAATTAAAAAACAACCAAAGCAAAACAATGATAACAAAACAATGGCAATATAGGATTTCAAAACAAGATGATAGGAATTTGACAATGGTTGTTATATTGCATATTGTTATCCTCAAAGTAATTGCTCAGGCTACCAGATTCAGGCATGCAAGACTGATTGAACAATAAAATTTCCCTTTGAGCAGTTTCTTTCCCTTTTACTATATCTGTTGTAATTTTTGGATCTTATTTGCTATTTCAGTTTTTTACACTAGGGTGACAATACTGTGTTTACCTGTGCAAGTCTGATTTATTTATGTTTCTATACTGAGAAAAAAGAGCCTATAGACTAGGAGATGCAGGACAGACAGGAGGTGACTGAAGGAATAATGTCACGAGGTGGTGAAACACACAGGTATTTTACTGTATCTGTGTGTAGATCATGGTGTTGGAAATGACCTCCTACTGCAGGCAGCCCGTTACTGAGTTACTGACCTTCCAGGAACTAAAAGGGCGTTTAATGGGGGATGTTAGAAAAGTATGACCTTTGCTGTATCTGTGCCGGGTAACAGTGCCTATAGCATTAGTTTGTGTTTAGTTTTCAAAATGTCAGTCTCACATGCAGTTAAAATCTTCCTGTAAAGTAAAAGGAAATTTTTATAATGCTAGTATTTCAGCTAGATGTGGAAGCACATGCCTCTAGGCCCAGTATCAGTATGAAGGGAGGCTGAGGCAGGAAGATGTGACTTTGAGCCCAACCTGAGCAGTTTAGAGAGACCTTGTCTCAAAATTTAAAAAAAAAATTAAGAAATGAAAAGGGCAGAAAATATAGTTCTTTGCAAAGGCCTGAGTTCAGTCCTTAGTACTAACCCCTCTCACACATAATCATGCACGCAAAACAAAACAAAACTCCAGTTTCAATTCTAAGTGATCCCTGATTGCTTTGTGTATCAAAATTCTATTGCTAGAAAGGGGTTTGTAAATTTTTGAATTTGGAGTTTATAGGACTTCAGTGTGTACATAGTTTTCAAAATTTAAACCTCCAGAAGCTTATCAAACTAAATAGTAACTAGGCCAGAATTCCTCTTAAAGAATCACCAACTCTTATGCCAAAAAAAGTAGTATTGACTATGTATCCAAATTCTCATTGAAAGTGTGAGAAGATAATATCTAAAAATTCATTAGTCTTCTGAAACTTACAGGATTGGTTTCCTTGAGTCATTTTTATGCCTTGCTGATTTGTTTTTGTAGAATACTTTGTTTTGAAAGATAAGAAATGTTTAGTTTTCTGTCTGTATTCAGTGACCCTTTCATCAGTAACACTATTCAATGTGTATCCGAGGAATAGTTAAACTAATGGACTTGTAGCTAATTGGATTGTTTGGACTATCATTGGATTTGACTGCTAGCTGAACTGCTAAGTGGTTCTTTGTTTGTGACTAAAAGCTGTAGAAATGAATTGTGTAAGGTAAAATTCATCCCTTACAGCGGCAAAGGGATGTATGATCCTGCGTGTAACAGGAAATACCTTGTTTTCATCAACTTGAAACAGAGCAGTCTCTCTTAGGTGGTACATAAGACTGTACAGAATTTATCTTATAATAGGCTCAGGAAAAGTTTTTTCTAAATGCACCAGGAAGTTCTTAATAGGAAATCTTCAGGTACTATAACAGTTGATGGATTATAAAAAAATACACCTTGATCAATCATTTTAAGTTCCTCTTTTTGAAATATCAGGGTGTACTCATGGTCGGCCCCCCAGGCACTGGTAAAACTATGCTGGCGAAAGCTGTTGCCACGGAGTGTGGCACAACATTCTTCAACGTGTCCTCTTCCACTCTGACTTCCAAGTACAGAGGTGAATCTGAGAAGTTAGTCCGGCTGTTGTTTGAAATGGTGAGTGATTAGCATTTAGAGCTTGTCTGCTGCATAGGTGTACAGTGCTGCCCCTTGACCTAGTCTGCTTGCCTAGGAACCTTTGTAAAAAGGGCAGTGAGGTTGCATTTTCATAGTTCAGACACACTAATGAGAAATGAGCACTGGGTTTGTGGGACAGTTGGCCTGCCTTCTGTGTATCTTCTGCTGAAGCAGAAGGCCCTTTGGCATCCTCTCCAGTGGGAATGAAGAAACTTCGGCGAACTGTGGGTTGATTGATGGTTCTTCATTGTTTTGTGAGCTGATAGAGCAGAATAAGATTTGTAATGTTTTTAAAAATTGGAAATTGTTCTATATTACAGTTTATTCTTTTCATGCTTTTAGGTAGAGATTGATTTTGAAAGGGTTTTGGCCCAGATAGGACACTGTAGCCAGGAAAGCCACAACCGGAAGCAGGAAGCCCCATCTCCCCTGCCCCTAGGAAGTTACCTGTGACGCCATCTTCCCGCCCCTGGGAATTTACATATGGCGCCAAACCTAGGACCAATGGGCTACCTGTGTATCTCTAATGCCTGCCTTAGGTTCCACCCCAAACCGAGGCTATTTACAGGCCCCCACACCACGTGTCAGCCGGAGAGATCGCCGGACACCAGCGGTGGGGGTGCCGGTCATCTCTCTCCGTGTTCTCAGAATAAAGGCTGCTTTTTATTTTATACTTCTCATATTTTGTTAATATTTTTCATCTTTTGGAAATAACCCTAGCAGATTTATCTTTTAAAGAAGTCACTATGGAAATTCCCAAACACAAAAGTGTAGGAAATAGTAAGGGAACCGTAAAGTGTCAGTCATGCAACTCCACCAACCATAAAAATTTTTAGAAATTTCCTTTTTTCTGGTGTCACTACTTCAGTTAGCCTCTTTAATAACTAGATAGCAGCAGTATTAAAGCAGTGTGAACTTTCAGTTTGCATTTGCCATGTTTTAAAAGGGTAGCTAGTATTTAGAAATATTTGGGTTGCTTTATGAGATCATTGACTTCTTTAAAATATTTTTGCAAAGGCTAGGTTTTATGCCCCTACCACAATCTTCATTGATGAAATAGATTCCATCTGTAGTAGAAGAGGAACCTCTGATGAACACGAGGCAAGTCGCAGAGTGAAAGCTGAGCTCCTCATTCAGATGGATGGTAATTAACATTTAATTACTGCCTTTCGTTTTTGAACTTTTTTGTAGATTCATACTTTGGAAGTTCTTAAATGAAGTAGAAGACAGCTGGAATTTAATCATTTATTCATGTACTCATCCTCATTTTTTTCATGAATTAAAAAGGTATCTGTTACACACTTGTAATACATTGTGAAGCATTCATGGTCTTCACCCACGAGGAGCTTACTATAGAGCAGAGGCTCTAGAGATGTGCTCTGGAGTCCCTCCACAAGAGTCTACAAGGTGTAAACTGTTTTACTAGTAATTTTGTCTTTTTCACTCATTCTCTCACAAGTGTACAGTGGACTTTTTCAACACCTACACAACCTGGCAATCTGGTAAAACTGGGAAACAAACAGATGTGGTAATCTAGCTGTTTTCTATATAGTCAGATGTTAAAATGTTTACAAAAATCCGATGCAGTTTTTGGGGTTTTGAAAAATACATCTATTTTTTATAAAAAATTTTTACTTGTTAACAAGTAATACATTTATTTTTAAAGTTAATTAGTAGTTTGAAAATTTTTTTTAATTTCTAATGGTAAATATTGATCAGTGAACTCCCATCACACACACACACACATACACACACACACATACACACACACACACACACACACACACACACACAGAGAGAGAGAGAGAGAGAGAGAGAGAGAGCTCTGGAGCTCCCCGTACTTTTTAAAAGTGTACAAGGGGGGCTGGGGATTTAGCTCAGCGGCATAAGCACCTGCCTTGTAAGCAGGCAGTCGTGAGTTCGATCCCTGGTACCAATAAAAAGGAAAAAGACAAAAAAAAAAAAAAAAAAAAAAAAAGTGCACAAGGCTCCTGAAACCAAAAACTCTGAGAAGGACTCATCTAGATGAGAAGCAGACAACTGATCAGAAAGTGAGAGTACAGCTGAGGAAAGAGCTTCAGGAAGCCCAGTAAGTAGTTGTGCACACATGGATCAAAGCGATGAAGGGTAGACAAAAAAGATTAGCAGTGTGAACACGACAAACTGGTAAGAGATTTTCACAGATAGAGAAGAAAGTGATAGAAACCGGTGGAAAGAATCACATCCTGGAGATCCAGCTGGGAAAGACTACCTGTTTATTCAAAGTAATCCACACAAAGAAAGCCTCATTTTAAAAAGGTGAAAATGAACAACTGAAAAGAAACGCTGATATGTCAAAGGAAAAACTAAAATCTCAAGAATAAGAATAATATTGACAAACTTGTACATAAAATGAAAAACAAAAGGAAGAACACAAGATAGAAATATCAGGATATGCAGAAAACAGTTGAATTAAATGAAGAAAAGCACAAGATTTAATAACTAACAAGGACAGAAATTTCAGAGTTAAATGCAAAGTTAGTAACCCAAGAAAAGGACAAGCAAAATGTAATCATTAAACTACAGCGGGAGGTCGATGCCAAGCTAGCAGGAGTTCAGACTAAATCAAACTGTCCAGTTGCTGTTTCCCCACAGAGTAGCTACAGAAGGAAGCTTCCGCATCTTCAAGAAGAAAAAAACAAGGAAATTTTAGTTCTTTGTAATACCATGCATGAAGTGGAGCAGCGCCTTTCTGCTGGCAAAGGTTCTCATCTTAAGCATACATGATTTTGAGTATAACAGTAAAGTCATTAATTACTATTTACTTTTTAAGAGCAATTGAAAAATTCACTTCCATTTTCAACAAAAGCCTAAATACTAAAGAAAGCCTAGCTTTTCAACAAAAGCCTAAATACTAAAGAAAAATGATGGTTCATTGTGATGGATTCTGAGGTGCAGGTAGCCTCTGAGAGCACTGAACCCCCCTCAGAAGTCCTACCACCCAGACTAAGGGCCACTGGAGTTGGACTTCGAAGCGCTGGTCATTTTCCCAGATATTCGGAAGCCATAGAAGGAAGAAAGTTCCAGGCTCAGAACTCCTTTTTCTCTGGTAACTATGTAGTAAACAACAGCTGTTTGAGCAAACCATGAGGAAAGATTAAAATGTGTTTAAAAATAACAGAGTGTATTAAAAATACCCAGGGTGCTTCAGAACACCCTTGGCTATCATCCACCAGCCATAGAGTCTTACTGAGTATTAATGTGTATTAGGTACAGTGCCAGGCACTGTAACACAGAATAGTGTACCATGCGTTCTCTTCCTCAGTGAGTTTGTATTTGAACTTTTGCTTACATATGAGAGAATGGAGCAACAGTATTACGTTTTTGGAGGAGGGTAAACAGGAGAACATTAGGTGTTTAAAACTGGAAAAAAAATCAGTGAATAAGATTATAGTCAGCAGAATTTGATTGAGGGGTGTTAGAGACTTATTGATAATTAGTTGGACCGCTTGATTCTTTGAGATAATCACTGAAATAGTTTAATAATTTTTAAGAAAATGCATATTGAACTGGGTTGCTATTTATCCCTTTGAAATGCCTGATTGGACAATCACATCAATAAAGTATATTCCGAAATTTTAATTCTGAAAAAGTAGACTCTGTGTATGTACAAACAATTGGTTTGGACTTAAGAGAAAACAGAATTTTCATCAGTGTTTGATTATTAAGCTCATTCTTAAATATTTTCCTTGATTTTTTTAATGTCACTTAAATATTTGAAGGACAAAACAAATTGCACTATAACCTATCTTTCAAGATTGTGATTTCATTTGTATTGCTAGGTAAAGAAAACAAAAGTGTAAGTTAGACTCAAAACTAAAATAATTTTTGAGGAAATTTATGGTTAAAAAACAGTCTAACTTCTGATGCCTTTTCTTTTTAGAAGAAATAGGCATTTATTTTCATACAGAAAAAAATTTATTTGGCTTAGAATTCACTAGATTACGTTAAAAATTCTTTTGCTTTCTTTGTAGTTAATCTGAAAATGTGTCTGGTTTTGCTGCCACATAGAGGTCAGAAAAGCTGCTGTGTTTTATCATGTATCCTCCCACCCAGAAGTGTCGTTACATTTAGAGGTGATTGGTTGAATGAAAGAATAAAGGGCTGCAATAAAGCGCTGAGACCTTCTCTGTCCCACTTACTCATCCAGGCGTTGGGGGAGCTTTGGAAAACGATGACCCCTCCAAAATGGTTATGGTGTTGGCGGCTACTAATTTCCCGTGGGACATTGACGAAGCTTTGAGAAGGAGATTAGAAAAAAGGATATACATACCTCTCCCCACAGGTACAACTTCTGCCTTCTGTTCTGTTTGAGTTTTCTGTTGTTTGCTGTTACCTTTTCCTGTTTGCCTGTGTGTTTATTCTGTTGTCAGTCTACTCAAAGTTCACAGCATCACAAAACCAATTTGTGGTCCATAGAAACAGAGGCAGTGCACTGTATTGAAACATCTATTGAAGTTTCTTGCATTTCAGAGAAGTTCTTATATTTGCGTTAATAAATTTGATAACACTCAAGTTGGTAGCACTTCTAAACTTGAAGCATCTGTGTTAAACCTTAAGTGATTAAAAATAAAGTTCTCTTGGGGTCATTTTCAAAATATAATGTTTCAAAACTGTAATTTCATTTAGTTAATAAATATTTAAATTTCCTTAAGTGAATTTTTATATATACTAAAACATACAAATCAAGTATGTAATCCATGAGTTTTGATATATATCCTCCAGGTTAATCAATGTCCTGTTCAAGATGTAGGACATTTCTATCACCCCAAAAACTTTGTGTGTCCCTACCAGGTAATTCAGATCTCCATCAGATACTCATTTTACCTGATTTTTATATTAGCTTTACTTCTTCTTAAGCTTCATGTGAGTGGAATCATAACGATATCTATTTACATTCAATTTAATATTTCTGAGATTTATTCATGTTACACTCTTCTTGACATAATTATACCATAATTTATTTGACTGATGGACATTTAAGTTGCCTCTAGATTTTGGCCATTACGATAAGCTACAAATCTTTTTTATGCATAAATATTTTAAATTCTTTTGGGTAATTAGAATAGAATAGATGAATCATAAGGTAGTTACATTTTTAACTTAAGAAAAACTCAAGCTTTTTTCCAGAGAGGTTGTACTATTTCATGCTCTTACCACCAGTTAGTGGAATTCTAGTACAACCTTCTCAACGTTTAGTGTTACATCTTAACTTTGTTCATTCTAGCCAGTGTAAGGTTTTAATTTGTATTTTGTGGATGTCTTACCTTTTCATATGGTTATTGGCCCAGGTTTTTCACTGAGTTATCTGCTATTTTATTAAAACTTTATATAAAGTTATTTATCAGATATGTGCCTGAAGTATTTTCTTCCAATTTATAGTTTGCTTTTTCATTTTTATGGCATAAACAATTTTTATTTTTAGTAGTTGGCAAACGTAATGATTACATTCATAAGTTGGTTACATGTGTTATAATACATTTTACCTCTTTTTATGTACCTCCCATGGCATCTTTTGAAAAGCAGAAATTTTTAATTTTGGTGGAATCTCATTGTCAGGTTTTTCTTTCCTCCTTCCCCCCTCCCCTCCCCTTCGCCCTTCTCCTCCTCCTCTTTTTCTTCTTCATTTGTGTTTGTTGTTATTTTAAGGATAGTGCTTTTTATGTCTTCAGAAATCTTCATTTACTCCAAGGCTACAATGTTTTCCCCCATAGTTTTTAGAAACTATATTTATATTTGATTCTTCTTAAGTGTGTGTGTGTGTGTCTATAGTGTAGTGTAGGTTTTGAGTTTTATTTCCCATGTATGTATCCAGTTCTAGCACAATTTGTTGAAAGGACTTTTCTTGTTCATTACATTACTTTAGCATCTTTGTTTATATATCTTGCTATGTATGTATAGATCTATCTATAAACACTCATCTCTACCCCTAATTTTTCAAAAATAGATACAGATCTTTCTATTCAAGATGTTATTTGTTCTTTTTTAGTAACTTTGGTAGCTTATGTTTTGCAAAGAATATATACATTTCTTTTAAGTTGTCAGTTTATTTGGTTTTGGCTTAATGTAAATGTAGAAGCTGACAGTGTATGTGCGGCTGTTAATTTCATGTGTGGTTCTGGAACTTGAGGTCGGTCAGAGCAAGCTTTCAGGAAAAGAGGGTGCCTGTGAAGTTTTAAAAGTAATAATCACTTGTAACCTTGGGATAAGCAGGAACCCAGGAGTGTGGATTGGAACCCACCTTGGGCTCTCATTCTTCTAAAGTTCCTGGGAAGAGGCAATATGTACCAACTTTCTCCATTGATTCCTTTCTGCCTTGGAATCTCACACAGAGTAATCTCCACTCCATTAACCCAGAGGTATGCAATGAAGAGATCTCTGGGCAGTAAAGACACAAATCCACTTAATCTCATTTTCCTTCATGGTCTGTAGGAGCTATGGTGATGGCTCATTTTTCATTCCTAATATTAGTAATTTATTTTATCTTGATTATTCTTGCTATTTTATGAATATTAATATATTCATAGTTAGATTTATGAATACTAAGAGTCTTTTCAAAGAACCAGACTTTTGCTTTGTTAATTTTGTATTTCCTATTTCATTTTATTTCTTCTTTTTTTATTTTTTCCTTTATAGTTTGAATTTCGTTTTCTTTTTTTCTGAAGTTAAAAATTTAAAGGGTTGCTTTTAAGCATTCTTTTTTCTTTTTATCTTTGTCATATCTACTCAGGAGTATTCTATCCCTGAAGTACACCCCCATCTCTTTTAAATTTTGAGACAGGCTGTTCCTAAGTTGCCAGGTTGTGGGGGCTGGGCTGGAACGTGCCATCTCCCTGCCTCATCCTCCCACAGAGCTGGGATTACAGGTGTGCACCCCCATACCCGGAAACATTTTAAAGCTTGACATTTCTCTTAAAGCACTGAGTTAGCTTCATCTCACAAATTTTATTCTATCATTTTTTTCTGCTATTAAATTAAAGTACTGATAAAAGTTAATCTTTCTGGCCAGATGTAATGGGGCACTCCAGTGATCCCAGCACTCGGGAGGCTGAGGCAGGAGGATTGTTGAAGTTTTAGACCAGCCTGGGCTACAAAGTGAACCTGAACTGCAGAGTGAGACGTTGTCTCAAAAAGAAAAAAAGACAAGAAAAAAAAAAAGAAAGAAGGAAAGAAAGTCATTCTAGTGCACTCAGCTAGAACACTTTTCTTATCAACAGCCGCTTCATTACCCTCCTGGGCACAGTATGTCCCTGGGCAAGCCAGGAGGCTCTGTCTCAGCATCTGAAAGCCAAGGCTGGGCAAACTGAGTACACAATCTAGGTGATAAAAGAAAAAGTAATAAATTACTTCCATAAAAGGAACAAAAGTGGTGGCCAGCAGGGAGCAGGAAGAGAGAGACGCACAGAGCAGCTGCTGAGTTCCAAGGATGCGCCATGGCTTGCCATGGAGGTGTCCGCTTTGTTAGTTGGATAATCCAAACATTTTAATAAATGTTTCCACACTCCAGTTCCATTCTGCACACACAGGTGCACTGCCAGGACAAGGCAGGGCAAAGCAACACAGAACCATTGCGGCTGGAAGGGAGGCAGAAGGCATTTTTGAGACTTAACCACATGAAAAGGCACAGCTAGAACCCCCCCAACTGTACGGCTCCTTAACCTCGGGAGGCCCCTGTGCTGCACCCCAGCCAGCAGGCCCACCATGCAAGCTCCCGGGACACCTGGCACACACTGAGCTAAGGAAGGCAGGTGGATGGCAAAGACGAGGGGAAGGAAGAGGGACGGGAGGAGGTTTCTACCCACGCTGCTACAGAAAGCTGCTGGGGCCCTGGTGCCCATGTAAGAACTCCCAGTTTTGAAAAAGCACATTTCTATCCAGTGCTCCTTGTTTCAGCAAGGGAGCACAGGTGAGCTAGAGTCACTTAACTCGTTTAGTTGCAGTAGTAAAATAGCACAATTCCACTCTATTTGTAAATGAAGGTTTTGCCTTGGTCATGCCTAAAACCCTAAACACCAAGTTTAATCTGACGTACAGTATTCTTATGCAGTAATGAAGTTCCACACAGCAGACTTCAAATGAACGTTGAAGATAAGCCCGCTCCTTAAGGACCTGGTGGTTCTGAAACATGGCAGCAAGGATCCTCTTTTTTCTTAGGAACTATGTCTTTAGGGCAGTTAGCTTTTAACTAATGGTATTATATCACTGATTTTTTTGAAGATTCTAAGTAAGATTTATCAGCCCCATAAAACTGAATTAATGGGATTTACTAACTTGTGAAAAGATGTAACGGGGTTGGTGTGTTAATAGTGTAAAGGACTGCCAATGCGATATAATGTTAACACATACAGTACTCTAGATTCAAATAGGACAGAAGCAACATGCAATGCCGCTTATCTTCACAGCTCCCTGTGAGCACAGCAGGCAGTCGGGCCAGACCGTGCCTCGCTGCCTGATCTCCTGAGCTGCAGAGGATACTCAGCCTTCCTCAGCTTCCACAGTGTAAATTAAAGATCAGAACAGAGTCTCTCTCATCAGTCTGTCCTGATGGTCAAATGAGTCAATACCTATAAAACCTGAATCTCAGCCAGCCTTCCAGACATACTCACTGCCCCTCCCACTCTCAACTACGAGAGCCTCCCTGAGGACACCAGTGCAGAGATGAAAGACACATAGGTGCAAACTTAGGGCAGAGAGAAGTAAAAACAAATAATTCTGAGTCGGGGATTTAGCTCAATGGCAAAAGCACCTGCCTGCCAAGCCCAAGGTCCTGAGTTCAATTTCTGGTACAAAAAAAAAAGGGCTGGAGATTTAGCTCAGCGGCATAAGCACCTGCCTTGGAAGCAGGCAGTCGTGAGTTCGATCCCTGGTACCGATAAAAAGGAAAAAGACAAAGAAAAAAAAGAAAAAGAAAAAAGGATTCTGACCTGGATATGATAGGAAGCCACACTCACCCAGAGTTTAAAAGACTGTTACGGAGTACAGTTTAAGGGGTTAGGCAAAAAGCAAATCATAAAGGAAGGGGCTGGAGAAGTGAGTTTATTAGGCTGACCGTGTGGCGGCTGCCAGACTTGAGATGTGCTAAGTGAGGAGCTCATCAAGGTACAGGCATTGGAGCTCCCAATGTTACTTTGTAAAACAAGGCCAGCTATTTCTGGATAGGAGTATTTCCGGTACGTAAAGGATCTCCGCTGCTTTGTTTCCATAGCAGGTTATCCTCACAACCTGTAAGGAACACCAAGCTTTGCTCCAGTTGTTTCAGCAGAGACCCTAACAGGTCAGACGGTTCCGAGAGCTGCACCGCGAATGGGCAGTGCTGGTGGGCTGATCGTTGTTCACGCCTGTTTGTATTGCTCTTTTCCTAGTGTAAACATGTTGATTTCTCAGCAAAACAGTTTGCTCTAACAACTAAAAATCTTGTCACAGCAAAAGGAAGAACCGAACTTCTGAAGATCAATCTTCGAGAGGTCGAAATAGATCCTGATATTCAGCTGGAAGACATAGCAGATAAGACTGAGGGCTACTCCGGCGCCGATATAACCAATGTTTGCAGGTATTTTCTTTAATGAGCTGTCATCCTAGACATTGGTTGCACAATTTACAGGAAGACTGTATCTTAAAGTCATTGTATTACCCTTAGCCTAAAAAGTAACTGCCTAATTCTTTGACTTGTTTTCCTGTTTGTGTAAATTTTTCCTTGATCACTCTTAGGTAAATAATATCTATAACAAAAGTTATATCTTTGATCCATTGCTTTCTAAGAAATTGTCTCGTCTGACGTGATAATAATGACATTAACTGCGTGTGGGTGATGTAGTTCTGTGCCAGAGCCACTGCCTCAGCACACAGTGACGCAGCTAGCGCTGGCCAGCGTTATTTGTCCACATGCAGATGAATGCAGTGATCAGCCTAAGCTCTGGACGAAGCACACACGCGTCTGTAAATTTCCTTTCAGTTTAGTGACGCTGTACTTTTTAGATGGTTCACATCTCTCAGTAAGGAGGATTTTTCCTTTTTCTTATTTTCCTAAGTAAAATCGACTCAGTGGCTGTTCTTTAATGACCCAACATCTGTTTTCTCATTTTTCTGTGAATATTTTCCCTGTGTACATCTAAGGTTAGTGGTATACAAAAAAACTCACATTGGTATAGCAAAATGTTTAAAAGTGTGGAGGTTTGGGTGGCTCCTAGCAGCTCTTGCATGAGCGAGAGTCTCTGTGTTTTGTACATATGTGTTGAAGCAGGTTTACTAGAGATGCAGATGCGGTCAGGAGAGTCCTGACTGCTTTCAGATAGCTGTGTGGGGAATTCGTGTCCACTGCATGTGGATATCTTCTTGCTCTAGAGAGGAGCTCCTGACTTTGTGCCCTCTAATAGGCTGTAGAGAAACTTGTACGTGATTCGAATCATCTTAACATTAGCATTATGTTTGTTTCCAAGTATGCAATTTAGTATTTCAGAGTTGACTTCAGTTTCCTAAACGACTTGGTTGTTTTTGAAGCATAGGTAAGGAAAAGAAAACTCATTACTATTGGAGCTCATTACCTAGATTTTTATGATCCACGTACTGTACATTTCATGTGCTAAGTGTTTTAGATTCTGTTTTAACTTCCCGTGAACCCGCAGGAAGTCTCTGAAGTGGAAAATTTTAAGCAGTACTATAGAAACATATTTTCAGTGCTTCCCCATAACTTTGTAATGATTAAAAGTGTTGAAAACACTTACAGAAGTTATTGTTGACTGATTTTGCTGTATTTTCAGAGACGCTTCTTTAATGGCAATGAGGCGGCGTATCAATGGTTTAAGTCCGGAGGAGATCCGTGCCCTGTCTAAGGAGGAGCTTCAGATGCCTGTCACCAAAGGAGACTTTGAGTTGGCGCTTAAGAAAATTGCTAAGTCTGTCTCTGCTGCAGACTTGGAGAAATACGAAAAATGGATGGTTGAATTTGGATCTGCTTGAGTTTTTGTCAGCTCTTTCACTTCTGGCATTTTTATTTATCAAATGTGAAGAAATTCCTGAAATTTGTTTTTAAACAGGTTTGGAATTTTTCTTTGGAACTATTTTCCCTTCGAGGAAAAAAAGACACACAAAGATCTAAAAGTACAAAACAAAAGAAATCCTAACTGTAGATGAGAAATGAAAGACTTAGTAGAGTCTGGCTGGGCATGGCAGTTGCATGCCTGTAATTCCCATCTTCACAAAAGGGTAGAAGCCAGCCTGGGGTACATACATAGCAAGATTCTATCTCAAAACTAAACAAAAACTTGATAGAGTTTGATGGTCTCCCTCTCCGCCTATGTAGTCATGCATTAGTATTAACACACCCAAACCAGTATAATAGGGAGGCTAAGGAACATAGCAGTGTAGTTTTAGGAATTGTTTACAGATGATTTGGTAAATCTGTTTCTCAGCTGACCTTGTTGGCTTTTGTCTTTGTTTTCAATTCTTTACTCTGCGAACATGCGGTCCTTATGTATATTGACTCCTCACAGCCAAACTAGGTTCAAGTCAAATTCATTCATTATGAGAAGAATGCCAATAAGTTTTGGAGGAAATAAATTTGCTACTTAAAGCTTTGGAATTTGGTTCTTACTGAGTCTAACATATGGTTAAAATAATTACTTCTCCCTTCCTCATCATTTTTTGTATTAACTCTTATTATTTCTTTTTTTTTTTTGTACTGGGGTTTGAACTCATGATCTTGGCTTGCCAGGTAGGTGCTTATACCACTGAAGTAAATCCCCAGCCCAGATTTTATTCTTTCTTAAAGATTGCATGAGAAACTGTTCTTCATTAGAGACTTCTAAATTTGCTTTCATTTTTATTTCAGTGTTTTCGAACAGCTATTTTTAGTTCCAATACTGATTTTGTTGAATGCTACTTTAGTATTTAAGATACGTCTTTGCCATTCTAAGTAAATCCACCCTTGGTGACTGGTGCAAGACAAACAGAATCTTTATAGTTTTCCATATATTCTGTTTAACAGAAATTTGAAAATTTTAAAATTCTTTTTAGTCTTAAGAATCTATATACATAGTAAGATTAAGATAGAAATTTGGGGGCTGGGGATTTAGCTCAGCGGCATAAGCGCCTGCCTTGCAAGCAGGTAGTCATGAGTTTGATCCCCGGTACCAATAAAAAGGAAAAAGACACCAAAAAAAAGATAGAAATTTGATGTACTTATTCAGTTTGGCATGAAGGTAGTAAAAAGGACCCAGGGAAAGTAAATAGCATGTATCGAATCACAAGTGGAACATCATGACACTGTTTGTAATTAATTCTGTTTACCCTATTTAGATTATTAGACATTCTGTGATTTAACAATCTGGCTTTTGAAAATTTGTATTTAATGACATTCTGAATTCTCAATTTAAGATGACATCAACTGGTTGTTGGTTACTTTTCTCTTGTTGCTGAGACAAAATATCTGACACCCAAAATGAAGCAAGGAAAGGGTTATTTAGCTTGCAGTTTGTGGAGATTTCAGTCTGTACTCAGCTGGCTCTAAGGCAGGCTGGTGTGGCTAAGGGGCAACTGTCATGGCAGCTGCAAGCAACAAGAGTGAAAAGGGCCAAAGGAGGAGCACACCTCCTTCCCTCCCTTATATAGTAAGCCGCTGCCTGCCCTGGGTGGGCGCACTGCTCACACTGCTGTGTCCCAGCACTAGACAGCAAACCCATCACAAATGCTAGACTCAGCTGCTTTCAAAAGGCCCATCCCCATGACCGCATGAGGCTTTGGGGGGATGTCCAAATGCAAATCGTAACACTAGTTTAAAACTAAAAAAATAATACAGCTTATAGATACTTTAACAAAAACTCCTACTATCTTGACTAACAGATCTGTTTTTTCCTACTAAGAACTATAACTGTCTTATGTTCTTTTCAGATAATTTAAGTCTGACTCTAACCCCAGTATTCATGTGATGCTATAAATTACTCTTTTTCGTTTGAGAAAGAAATTATAAGACTTTAGACCACAAGGAATCATGATTGTATTATAATTGACCTAATTCATTTTAAGAAATGAGTGAAATTTCTATTTATTCATAAGCTTTTAAAATAAATAAGTATTCCCAGTAAAATTATCTTCAGAATCTTGCCAGCCACTAATGTATTTTTTCCTAGATTCTTAAGGATATCATTAAAACATTAGTGTTGTGATAAAACTTTTCAGTAACATTTCAGTTAGGTAGTAGGACTCTTCTGAGTTTTGCAGTATTTATTTATTTTTTATTGCAGGATTTATTTTAGCATGTATTCAGGGTTTTTTTTTTCCTGAATTCTTCTTGCATAATGACATGGTAATTGTGATTCTTTCATTACCAGTTAAGCAGTGTTTGAGAACAACTCGGGTTTTCTGAAAGATTATATTATTGTCTTAAGTGAGTCAAATATACCCTTTTATTTCCTTCATTTCTCATTTTGCTCTATCAGTGGATGGTTAAGGCTTTGCATACTCTAAACCTCCTAAAAGATCTTGAAGAGATCCCTCAGGGGTTTAGCTGTCTAACCTTTGGTATATAGCTGTCTTTATTGCAAAAGACTGAGTTGTTTTACCCAGAATGACATAGAATTGTTTTGTGATTTTTCTTGGGTGGTTGGAGGTGTGTTTATCCACACTACAAAAAAAAAAAAAAAAAAAAAGAGATGCATTAACGAAGTAGAAATATTTGGTTCCTTACTCTGAAAAGATTATTTCGACTTCTGTAGTGAAATGATTCTCAGATTAGGTTGTAAGTTGTATGTGATCCTTCTTTGTGACTATCTGATCAAACAGTCCCCTGATAGGCAGACTTGTGATTGCTTACCATGTGTAAGATATTGGTGACAGAAAGTTCTGACATTTTGTCTGATTATTCGTTGTAGTTTCTGGCTTCTGCTGCCAGATTGAGAGTTTAGGTCGTATGTGATGAGGCAAAGGAACGTGTGTGTGTTGAAAAGACATAAGTTTTCTTCCTCTCTTTTCAGTGTTTAGTTTTAAAATGAAAACTGATGCCCAGTTGGTTGAGAAGTATGAAGTTATTTTATCTTTCAGTGAAGCAATTTTTATCATTTTCCATGCAATAACTACTGTGTAATTATACTAAACATGTATACATGTCCTTTAAAAGAAATTAATATTGGTGAAATATACCAATAAAGAAACAAATGGATCTTTATTGGAGGCTATCACCTTCTAGTCATCCGAGAAGAAAGTGAGGCAGTGTGACAGCCTTTATCTTCTCAGTCAGTAGCGGTGTGCCCATCTGAGAATGTTCTAGCACCTGTTTCCAGAGACATCAGGACACCTAGGGAAGCATGCCATGGGCTAAGTGTAGAACCAGGGCTTGCTTTGAGCTCCTGAGATTGCAGCTTTCCTGTTATGATATTTGACTGTCAAGTATCTCAAAAAAAAAAAAATAGGCTGAAATCATTATGCAAAAAGTAAGCCAGCAGGTACCTGGTGAATCTCTTGAGCACTGTACTGGTACCTCGGGGGAATGGACATTGTATACAACCCAGAGTCACCCCTTACTTTGCTGTGAGCAGCCCAGCTCTGTTGGGTGTAAAATTCTTGAGTCCATTTTACTTCCTTTCTTGAAAGTAAGCTTCTGTATATTCTGAATCCATGTGGAGAATTAGGAAACGGCAGCTATTTGGTATAGTTACTTATGTCTCCTCTTCCTCTTCCTGCAACCTGAGATCAAGTGAAGAACCAGGCAAGTTAGTTCACGTTTTAAGTGGGCTTTGTTTCCTTCTGTGTTACCTTGGTTATTGAGTCTTCTTTTTGCATAGATTCCCACTTTTCTCTTTAAATTCTTAACTATAAGTCATCTTTGGATGTATCTTGTATGTTAGAATTCAAATATTAAGGGTATGTGCTGGCCTTTTCTAGGAGAAGACCACTTGTTTGAAGAAAAAAATCATTAATGATTCTTTTTTGTGTGTGTCTTTGTTGCTTGAATGTTTTGATTGTGTAATGTTTTTACATTCCACTTACCGTGATGCACATAATATTTATGTGAATCAAAGAATCTGTCACAACAGAAAAAACAGCAAGAATTACATTTGGAGGGTACGGTAGGAGGGTAAAAAATTTTAAACCTCAAATGTTTTGCTCTCCTCTCCACTAATTATTTTTTATAGGATGAGCTGAAACGGGTGTTGTAATTCTTGTAGGTTTACTTATTTATGCTTTTAAACTAGGCTTTTCATACTTATTTATTTTTGGATATTTGCTTTTAATATTGTCTCAATATGGAAATTGTATGAGTATTTAAAAATCAAATCTGTTCAGTAATGTTTTTACACATTCACCTCATTAACAATAATTCTTTGAAATTTTATTAAATCTTTTGGCTCTAGACAACTGTTTAGCTTTGATGATATTTCTGAATTGCAGATGACTGTTAATAAAAGCAGGAAGAAATGTTCAGTTTATGTCACAAAAAGTTTTTAAATCTCATTTCTTGAGGAAATAAAACAGAAACTTGGATATTGTTTTATCGATAGCAGTGTGTAAGTTTTTCACATTGGACACAGCAAGTAGGGAATTAGTGTAGAGGTGTTTCCCTCCCGTTAAAAGGCTCTTATTTGATTTTATGTGTAAAATGCACTTTCTCTTCCCACTGTCTCAAATGATTAAATACTGATGTTTGGAAAAAATCTGCACATGTGTTACTTCCACTCTACCTCAGTTAACGCTGCTTAGTTTTAGGCAGGAATAAATTGTATTAAATTCATTCAATCATCTATGCAAATTTTACTTTATTTTTTTATCTAATTGGTTTGTTCTTTAACATTTTTATTTGTGCATATTTGTCATGAGTATTGCTCACCTTTGCTATGGAATTTGTTCCTATACGTGATATACCTGAAGTCTTTTTTCTCATTCCCTTCCCATTCCTTCAATTCTTGCCCATCTCATTTATGAAAGCTTTTTTTTTCTATTCTTTTTTTCCCTTTCCTGTCCTTCCTTCCTCCTCCCTCCGCCCTTGTTCTCCTTCCCATTTGAACATGCTCTTATTTCCCAGTACCTGTCCTCCATTCTGCTTCTTATCTACCCACTGGGTTTCTCACACAAGCAAAGCAGTGTGACATTTAAATTTGTGTGTCCCATACATTTCACTCAAGCATATGGTCTCCTACAGTAACTCAGGCTTTTCTCTATGGCAGAGAAGTACCTCATTCTATAGAAACACCACAATTTCCTTATCCATTTATCTGTTGATAGACTGTTTCCAAGATTTAGCTGTTATAATTGTGCTGCTATAACCATGAGTATGCATATACCACTGGAATGTTGGTTTTTAAGTTTTGGAAAGGTAGCTCAGAAGCCGACAGCTGGGTCAAGTAGCATCCCTGGTTTTAAATTTCTGAGGAATCTCCGTACTGATTTCCACAGTGATTACAGCAGTCTACACTCCCACTGATGGGGAAGAAGGGTTCTTTTTCTTTACACCCTCACCAGCTGTTGCCATTGGCTGATCTCTTGGTGAAAGCCATTCTTTTAGAGTGAGACAGAGTCTCAGTGTTTTAATTTGCAGCTCTTGAATGACCAGTTGACGCTGAGCACTTTTTCATACATTAT